CCTTTCCTATTATTATCCCCATTTTTCAGGTAAGAAAACTGAGGCCCAGAGAAGTTAACAGATCATATTCTTCCTAAGTGTCACAGCCAGAGCTCCTATAGATCTAGAACTGGGAGGAACCTCAAAATCCAGATCTTCTGACTCCCAATTCTGTATCTTTCCATAATGCTAGCTCAGTTGGCTACTGTCTGTGTGATATGCTCTCTGAGTATCAGTTTCTTCATCTATCAAATGAGGTGGTTGGACTAGATTTTAGATCTTCCAATTCCAAATCCTACCACCTTTTTTTATGATCATAGACTTCAAAGGCATTTCGTGTCCAGTGGGTGAAATACATACCTAAAGACCAGAGTGCATGAAATCTCTGCACATCGCAACTGCAGCTAATGGACATTCATGCCTTAAGAGCTTCTTTAAGGGACTGTTACTTATTTCAGAGACCAGAAAATGAGAAAATGCAGCAAACTGATCAGTAAGGACCAGTCCGTGAGGAGGAGCTTCTACATATTTTTCTGTGGCTGAAGCACTGTTGTGCTGAGTGCAAAGAATTCCAAGCTCCTGTTTTCATTTAGTTCTTTCCATTTTTGAGCTTTGTAATAGAGAGGAAATGATCATTTCCCCTCACCTTCCCTGAATGGACACATGACATCCAAGCAAAAAGGAGATTGACCATGGATGCATGATGCCAGCAGGCTTCTCTTTCACACATAGATGTAGACCATATCTTTGTGGGTTGACAAAAGTTTAGACTTGGCACTAATCCGTGAATTAACCTGAGTAACCAAAGCTAAGGGGAGAAACTAGACCTTTGATTTCCTGGATGTGGGAAACTCCTGGATAGGGAAAGTCCTCATGCTGTTGTAGGTTGGCATTGTTTCTGTAACTTAAGGAATTGCCAAGAGCATAGGGGTCAAACATGTCACACATGAAGGCAACACTCCTGAGTTCAGCCTGAACCAAATTAAAATGTAATTGAGAAATATGAAGATAAATATAAAATGTAAAATAAGATAAAATATATAAAATGTATATAAATATAAAATAAAAATACAATAGAACATAGATATATGGTTTTCTAAGAACATAGATAATGTTAATGTGGTTTTCCAAGAACATAGATGATGTTAATATGTGGTGAATATGCACCTGCAGGGATCCTTATTTATGTAAGGTTTAGTGGTCTCCATTTCTATTGAGTTGGACACCACTGGACTAGAGCACAGGGAGGATGAGCATCTTGCCAAAGGTCATGTAGCCAGCATTTACTGGAGGTGAGACTTGAACCCAGGTCTTCCTGGCTCCAAATCCAGCTTTCTCTCTACCATTCCATGGGTGCCTCTCATTAGCAACTAAAGAACTGAAAAGTTTGGCCAAGATGCTTAGCCCAGGGATTCTTCATCATCTTTGTGTGACATTGGATCCCTTTGACAGTCTGGTGACACCTAGGAACCTCTTTTCAGAATCATATTTTTAAATGTATAACATAAAATATAGAGGATTACAACAGAAATTAATTATATTGAAATACAGTTATTAAAATGTTCAAAAAAACCAAGGTCAGATTCTAGTTTAAGAGTCCCTTAATTAGATGGATTGAATACCTAAAGTAATTTCTGCTCCCTTTAAAAATAATGAGAAGTCTCTGAGTAGTCCAACAGAAAGGGGAAAGAACAAAATGTATCATTGGTTAAACATAAATATTTTTCTCAAAATAAAAGAAATTTCTGAGTAGATAAACATGCTTCCATACACAATCCACATATGCCCATGTGTGTCCAAGTGTGAAATACTTACTGATGACAAAGGGGGCTGAATGCACACAAAAGATCACTAGAAGAAACATTTTGAAATAAACAATATTTGCAGTGGCAGGAAAGGAAGCCTAAGGATGGACAGATTTTTCATAAAAACCAATTCACCTTGAGCTACAAAGAGGTAAAGATGGGGGTGATGGGGTATGCGGTAAATAGAAGGAGAATCTTTAAGGTAGCACTGGATTTTGGGGGTGACCTTTTCAGTTTGTCAGTACTGGGGTCTTTCCTAATGGTCCATTTCCATTTCTTAGCTTCTTTTTGGGGGGACACAAAGCAACAGAATAAATAATTTTCACCCACAGGTGCTATAGGTGTAAACACAATGCTTCTGAATTGTGCTGAATGCCTCTGCCAAAATGGCACCAGTGCAGACACGGTATGGTTCTCGAGAAAAAGGCTGCAGACATTTGCTCAATGCTCCCTCCTCCCCTGCTTCCTCATCCCCTCAGCTCAATATTTTCATTTTCTGTGTCATATGTTAGACAGTAATTTACCCTGGGCTGCAGCTCAGAGACCTTAATGAGATGCTCAGTACATCTTGGCAGGGGCTGGAGACCCACAGACATATTACCATTGTTGCTGAGTTTATGTCTGACTCGGATGCACCACAGAGAAGGGAGACAAACGTACTCCATGATGATAGGGCTCAAGTAGGAAGGAAGATTCCCCTTTTTAGGCCATGATGTGCCAATGTTACAACTGGGGTGATCTATCTGAGCCCACGCTGCTATAGCGTTCTGAGTCACATGTTAGCTGGGGACAGCATTATTTGACTTCCTCAGAAACAACACTACAGAGCGGAGCTTTGTGAGGTCTGTGTTCCTGTATGCTCAGCCATCATACTCATACCTGATATTGTCACGAGGACATTAAGGCCCTCCAACACGTCCATCTGCTGAAATCGCCTCCTGTTGATCAAGCTGTAGACCTTCCCTTGCCCACTTCGGTCTAAGAGCATCAGTCCATTTTCTGTTCCCACCAGGAGGTTTACACCTGTGGATTTAAAAAAGCATCCACGGCCTCAGGTTTTTGCATGTTGTCTCCCTCATTTGACTGTAAACTCCTTGAGACCAGGGATGTTTTATGCCTTTGTTTCCCAGTGATTGGCACATAGTGGGCGCTTAATAAATATTGACTAACATCCTCAACTCCTCACTGGCACTCACCCCACCCACAGAATCCATTGCTAAATCTTATTGTTTTTACATTTACAACATCTATTACATATGTTCCCCTTCTCTTCCCTCACATAGCCCCACCCTTGTTCAGGTGCTCATCACCTCTCACCTGACCTACTGCAAGAGCTTTCTAACAGTTTCCCAACCTCAGGTCTCTCCCCTCTCCAATTCATCCTTTACTTAGTTGCCAAGGTGATTTTTCTAAAGTATAGGATTGTCCATGGCACACACACACCCCTTCCCCCATCTCCTAATCTAATCAAAGAGCACCAGTGGCTCCCTATTACCTTCATGATCAAAATACAAAACTTTCTGACGTGAAAAAACTTTATTACTTTGTCTCTTCCTACCATTTCAGGCTTCCAACATACTTTACTCCCCTTAATGAACTCTTCTATCCAGTTCCATTAGTCTTCTTGAAGCTTTTATCTCCCATCTCTCTGCTTTTGCAATGGCTGTCCTCCCCACCCTCAAACTTGGAATGCTTGCTCCTCCACCTCTGCCTCTTAGCTTCTCTGGTTTCCTTTAAGACTCAGCTAAAATTCTACCTTCTATGGGATGCCTTTCCTGGTCTAAACCCATCATTCTAGCCTATCGATATATTTTTTGAATCCTCGTTGTCAACTAATGCATTAGCTATCTCCCAGATCTATGGCATTCACAAAGTCAATTGATAAAATTGTTTTTTTTATCTGGAATCGGGAACAGATCTGTGGATTCAGTGGCATAGGAACTTATGGATGAGGAAACTCCCTCTACTAATGTAGGCCTGCTGCTTTTCTACATTTCATAGTCTTAGAGAGATGCCCAGACCATTGACATTAAGGGACTTGTCCAAGGTCACATAGCCAGAATGTGTCACAGATGGGATTTGAACTCAGATCTTCATGGCTGGGAGATTGGCCCTCTGTCCTCTATGTCATGCTGCCTTTCTTCTGTTTTTGACCTGAGAGGTTGATAAAACTGGTGAATAGGATAGAGGTGAAGACTAACCCTTGTGACCCACACTAGAAACTGCTATCCAAGATGATATCAATTCATTGAACAAAATTATTTGGGTATAGCTGCTTGACCAATTACAACTCTACTTAATTTACTGTCATTTAATTTGTATTTTTTCACCTTGTTCCAAAGGATATCATAGGATTAAAGAGTTAGAGCTGGAAGGGAGTTCAGAGGCCATGTAGTCAGAACCACTCATTTTTACAGGCAAGGAAACTGAGGCTCAGGAGGGTGTGAGGGTATTGCTCAAGGCCACACAGTAAAGTTTCAGGCTCTTTGATTACAAATCCTGTGCTTTTTCCATTGCTTTGTTGAAATAAAAATATATCTGGTTTTGTTATTCTAATAACTCCCTCCATCATGCTGGCTAATAGTCACCATCTCTTATAAGCCATCTGTTTAACAATCCATTCTAGAATTTTGCCAGTGAATGGCATTAGGCATTCTGGTTTATATTTTCTGAAATCTACTCCTTAAGTATAAAGTCCTACCTTTAGAAACATCATTTTGGCAAACAAGTGAAGGATGGATCAGAGAGGAGAAAGACCTGAGGCCAGGAAAAGGGTCCCCAAGACAACATTTGTCTATTACTGATCTTCTCCTACTTTTTTTTTGCTGATTTCTCAAAGACTGCTGCTAGTAGGTTTGCAGTCAGACAAGTACTTGTTATATTCTAGGGTATAATTTGTCTGGATCTGTATTTGCATTTAAGGCAGTCAGGCACTCTTTATCACATCCCATCTTATAGCCTTTTCCAATATGAAGACAATTCTCTTTCGTGGAGAAGGTAGAATTAAAATTGGAATTGAGTAGTTCTGCCTTCTTTGACATCTGATATCATGGTGCCATTTCCCCTTACCTGTGGACATTTCCTGTCTTTGATCTTTTTGCTCTTAACATAGCTTAAATATCCCTTTTTGAGGTCTTCAGTGTTTTGTGCCAGTTTTATTCATTTGGGTAGACATCCTGACATTTTTATAGGCCCATGTACTAGTCCTTTATGAGATATTCCTTTGTTTAAGAGAGCTAGTTATACAGCAAGGTTTTCTTTTTTAGACTTTTCCCCCTAAGAGTTTAAAGTCATTTAGTCTTTTTTGAGACATTTCCTTTTAGAGTCTTTTTCAATGGGATCATGCATATCTTTTCTCTGGACTTTTAAAAATGTGCTTTCCTAAAGTCTAGGGTCCTGCTCTATCTATGCCCAGCTCACTTATAGCTCACAGTGTATGAACTCCAAGATGACATGATCTTTTTCTTGAAGTTCCCACAGCTTCCATAGCACCAGTTGATTCTAACTTGCTAATCAGAAATAAATCTTGTTGCTTCTTCAAAGCTTTCTCCTCTACAATATGCCTGATAAGAGCTTGTCCAGCCTTTCTTTGAAGTCCTCTTATGAGGAAGAGCCCACAATCCCTCCCAAGGCTGCCCATCCTATTTTTGAAGAACTTTATTATTAATAAGTTTCTCCTTATATCCAGGTTATATCCAGGATATATCCTTATATCCAGGTTCTTAGCAACACCCTCCTTAATGCCCCTGCTTCTGCCTTTTGGGGCTAAACTGAATAAGTCTAATCCCTCTTCCAGGCAGCTAAGTGGTGCAGTGGATAAAGTGCTGGGCCTGGAGTTCAGAAGACTCATCTTCATGAATTCAAATCTAACCTGAGACACTTACTAGCTGTGTGACCCTGGGCAAGTCACTTAACCCTCTTTGTTTCTTCATTTGTAAAATGAGCTGCAGAAAGAAATGGCAAACCACTCCAGTATCTCTGCCAAGAAAGCCCTGAATGGGGTCATGAAGAGTTGGATATGACTGAAAAATGACTGAACAACAAAATCCTTATGCCATATATCAACCATTCAATTATAGATCCATAAGAGCAGGTTCTCCACCCCTGCATGAGAATATAATAATAATTATTATTATTATTTTATCTATAAAATTGTGGGTCTCATGTACTTAAGGTTCACAAAACAGTTTCCTTATAACATCCCTGAAAGGATATCACCATTTTTGCAGATAGAAAAGATGAGGATTTGATTAAAAAAAAAATTTTAAATGCTTATCCAGCATTACACGACCATTAAGTGTTGAGGGTAGGATTTGACTTTGGTTTCCCTGATTCGAAGGCTAGCACCCTGGCTATACCAGGAACATACCAGGCTATGTTCCTTTTGATAATGATTATCAAGATTTCAATTTCACTCTGATTATTACTGATGTCTATACATTATTATTATTGTTTCTGACCCATTTCTACATGAGAATTATGGGGCCTCTCTTCTACTAAAACTCCTTTTTCCATGTCTAACTTGTTCTCTTCAACAATATCTGGGTTAAAATTTTTAGTGAGAAATTTTTGCCTCTCCCCCTCCAAATTTCGGGTTAAAGCCCCTGTGATTAGGCTAGTTTCCTGACAAATGTACTGTTCCTGAATTTCATATTAAATTGACTAATTGATTCATTGAAAACCTCTGAAGTGCCTATCATGTGCACTACATTGCACTGTCCCTCATTTTTTGTTAGCAGATCATCATTCTGGAAGCATAAGCCATAGTGCCTAAATCCAAATCCTGTTCTTTGGGGTATGGTATTTATCTTTTTCTGTCAAAGTTGCAACCATCAAGTTGAAGAGCTGAAAATACTTTGTGCCCCCAAATCCTTAATTTTCAATTAAATAGATTAGTGTGAGGAGAGTAGGACTGGGAGTCAGGAAGGACTGAGTTCAAATTCTGCCTTAGACATTTACTGTGTGTGTGACCCTGAGTAAATCACTTTATCTCCTGGGGTCTCAATTTCCTTATCTATAAAAAGGGGATAATCACAGCCTTTACCTTTGTGTTCATGTATATGAAGTGCTTCGCAAGTCTTAAAATACTATAAATGCTAGTAATTATTATTATTACCATTATACTATTCCACCCTGGCCTTCTAAGTCATTAGAGGGGTATATTTCAAGATTCTTCTGGCCATATCATTTGCCTCCATTTGGGCAGGAGAGGGCAGGTCTGAAGGGTCTTGGCAGATTTTCTGTCACATCTGGATGACAGCCCACCTTTCATCTGTCATGGTGGGTCTACATATGGTAGCCTCTATACCTCAATAACTACTGCCTCTTGCCTCTTCCCTGTTGGTGGGACAAGTGGATCTCTCCCCATTGTCAGCTCCTTGGCCATCTGTCTTAGTGGTCTCTCCAGGGTACTGGCACTTCCTGAGGTGTTCCTTGGAAGGTCTAGACTCCCGGTGCTTGGGCAGAGCCCTCTGCTTGTTTCAGAACTCTTGTGCAGGAAAGGTCCATCTCCCTCCCTTTATCCTTTCTATCAGGATTTTCTACTCACCCACCTCTAGAGGGAGTCCTGTTTTCCTGTACTTCTCTTTCATTTTTTTTAGTCGTAGCCTTTTCTTTTTAGATAATTTCTTTTATCCCACCTAGAAACCTTCCATTCTCTCCAATAAATAGGAATGAAAAGATTTCTTTCACTTCCCAAGCCCCCTTTATAGTATAGTGAAAAGAGGAGCAGCTAGGTAGCACCATTATGCACAGAGCATCAAGCCTGGAGTCAGGAAGACTCGTCTTCATGAGTTCAAACCTGGCCTCAGACACTGATTAGCTGTGTGACCCTGGCCAAGTCACTTAACTCTATTTAACTCAATTTTCTCATCTGTACAACGAGTTGGAGAAGGAAATGGCAAACCATCCAGTATCTTTGCCAAGAAAACCCCAAATGGGGTCACAAAATATTGGACATGACTGAAATGACTCAACAAAACCAACAATGATAATGGAAAGAATACTGGTGCTGGAGTCAGAGAACCTTAGTTCAAATCCAATCTCTGGTACTTACTGTGCGACCTTGGACAAGTTTCATTTAACTTCCTCAGGCCTCAGTTATCTATAAAATAAATGTGGTAGACTCAACGGCCTGAGGCTCTTCCTGGTTCTAGATCTGTAAGCCTTTGATTGGCTGTGAGCCACACGTAGATGATAAGCTTACCCTTGGGGAATATACATGCAGCTCATGGTCTCTGGTTTATGATCCTACCTTGTGTTTGTATCAGCCTCATCACACTAGCTAATATTTACATAGTGCTTAAAATCTGCAAGGCACTTTACATATATTATTTAATTTTATCCTCAAAACAACCCTAGGAGTTTGGTGATATTATTTTCACCCTCATTTTACAGATGAGAAAACTGAGGAGGCAGAGTTCACTGAAGAGATTTGCTCATGGTCATACAGCTATTAAGTGTTGGAGGCAAGATTTGAATTCAGATTTTCCTAACTCCAGGTACAATCCTCTATCCGCTGCACTTTCTAAGTGCCTAGCTTGATACATCACCCCCTCTCAGGTGACATTTACATTTTAATTTATAAGAATTTTAGGTGCTGAGGCAGGCTGGACAGGGAGATGTTTTTGAGTAGAGAGAACCTTCCCAAGTCCTCATCAGATCACACTATGCTGTGGCTGCCTACATCAGCAAGGCTAGCCTTGGTCCCATGTGACACCACCCCAAATCCCAATGGTTCAATCCATCCTTACTCTACACATGCAGCCGCAGCCATCATGAATCATGTTCATCCCACTTGATGAGTTTAATTTCCATCATCAGGCAGGAAGAATAAAGAAAGAACTCACCCCACAGAGCAGCACAAAGGATTTCGGAGTTGAAGCGTTTCTTGTATTTCCGAATCTCAGGTGTGTCGCTGTGAGGCCGAATGTTCGTCGGGTTCACGTTGACCACTGAAATCTTCCTGGCTTCATTGAGCTTGGCTTGTTCTTGCCTTAGTAGCTCACTGGTAAATAGAGCTTAACAGACAAAGAAAAAAGAAAAAAGGATGAGCAACTTAAACGTAAAGTTAATTGGACGTGAAGATGACAAATGACCAAGACTATTTTCTGAAATGGGCTTGGAGTGCATCATGGAAGAGAAAACACCAAAGAATCTCTGAGTCCAGCACATTTTAGATTGTTCGTTCTTTTGTCTTAGCAGCAGCTCAGTCATAAGCCATCATGGAAGCAGTAAACTATGAGGTCAGTGTACCGTGCCAACATGGACCGTCTGGGAAGTTTAGTTATATGTTAACATTGCAAAGTTTAGTTATGTGTTAACATCACAAAGTTTAGTTATGTGTTAACATCACAAAGTTAGGTATTTGGATTTTAACTCTCACATCCCCCATTCCCATCAGTAAAGAAGAGATTGACTTTAAAGGGCCCCCACAAAAATCAGTGGGCCAATCTGTCTTAGTAAGCTGAATTTGATGATTAGCGAAGCTCCGATGAGTTTTGGAGTTTTGGTAAGTTTCCAGTTAAGAAGAAAGATTATCTAAACTAGCCAGACCCTTGCAGTGGGCAACATACACCTAAGAATTCAATTCAATTCAACTCAGTTCAATTCAATTCAATTCCACTCGACAAGCATTTATTGAGCGCCTACTGCGTGCATAGCACTGTACCTAGAAATCGCTCTTGGGAAATGTATGGCACTTCCTTTAAGTCCAGAAATCCCTGAGGACCAGCCTTTTCTAGTGTCCCTGGATACCCTTGGGCTCCAAACAGAAACAGAATAGAAGAGATGAGGATAAAAGGGAAAATAAGGAATTTATTTTAGTAAACCTAAAAACAGAACAAAACCCATACAACTTCCCTTTGAAGTATTAGTTCGAGTAAAACATCTTACATTAATCAATTCCTTTGTTCCCTGTATCACATACAAACCAGATACGGAAGACAAACCCAGGCCCAATAACATGGCGCTGCACAGCTTACCCGTGGCCGAAGATTCCTCATCGTCATCCTCGTCGTCATCAGTGGGGGACGTCTGGTACACTCTGGGGTCAACAAACGGGGTGAAGGAGGCTTTGGTGCCGCTCCCCACAGCGTACTATTAAACAGCCAATGAAAGCAAAGCTTAGAGCACTCATTTAACCATTAACAAAGCAAGAATAAGAGTAGAAAAGAGTAGACTTGGAAAACAGAATGAAGGCGCAGTCCCGCCGACCTAGCCGTCCATGCATTTCTCTTTCTGCAGGTGCTTCCTAGCATTAAGTTATTCACAGTCAAGTCGGGCATTTACAGAAATCACCCTCTCAAGTTCTAGTAAATGACTAAGCCAAGACCATGCAGGATTCCCTAGTATTGGTTTATGGTGTTCTCCAGACCTGGAATGCTCTCTCCTCTTCACTGCTGCCTGTTGAATTCTGCCCCCAAATGCTACGTCCTCCAGGATACTTTCCCAGATGCTCTGAGTCAGCAGTGACCCCTTTCTCCACTCACTCAATACTCTGTGTTTCTCTAATAATGCACTTAATGTATGTTATTCTGAACCACAGGTTTGGAGGAAGAAGGAAACTTTGAGCTCATCTAGGTTCCTCCCTCTTAGGGAAACTGAGGGACAGGCGAGTGTAATGTCTTACCCAGTGTCATGGAACCAGAAACTGGCAGAGCTGGGATTTAGGGCTGGGCCCTGCAGCCCTCCTTCCCAAACTACCCAGAATATATTTGGATTGGTTAGTTACCTTTATGCTTATTTACATATGGTTATCTATATACTTATTCTCGCTCCCCCCATCTTCCCCACTACCCCATTAGAATGCAAGCTCATTGTAAATAGGGATTATCCAATTTTTTGTACCAGTATCCCTAGTGCCTTGCACAGTACTGGACACGGTTTAGATGCTTAATATATGGTTATTGATTGAATGGATATATGACGATGCTTTATTTTGTATTTGTATCATATGTCTAGGGCAGCTAGGTGGTGCAGTAAATAGAGTGCTGGGCCTGGAGTCAGGAAGACTATGCTTCCAAAGTTCAAATCTGGCTTCAAACACTTAGTAGCTGTGTGACCCTGGGCAAGTCACTTTACCCTGTCTGCCTCAGTTTCCTCATCTGTAAAATGAACTGGAGAAGGAAATAGCAAACTACTCCAGTATCTTTGCCAAGAAAACCCTAAATGGGGTCACAACGAATCAGACACACCTGAAAAGACTGAACAAGAACAAAAATCATATCTCTATTTTATACTATAAGCTCCATGAGAGCAGAGATGGTGTCTTACCTAAACTTAGTATCTTTTCCCTACCTAGCACGATGTTTTGTGTGCAGTAGGCACTTAATAAATGCTGAGCTGAATTGAATAGCAGAGTAGCTTGTCTGCTTTGCCTTTTAGGCCTAATGCAAATCTTAAGATGTCATGAAGGCTTCAAAGAAAGATGGCAAACTTTAGTAGTGGAGGCGAGAAAAGTTTCTGAAGTGAGAAATGCAGTTCTGACCTTTTAGCCAAACAGATCCTTCCCGTTGGCTTCAGAATTCTGACATCCTGCCTTCCATGAGTTCTAATCTAGGGGATGCCCTGAATCAGTTTAAGAGAAGCCTTGAAGTCAAGTTAGCTCTGAGATCACAGATTCCCACAGTTTTAGATCCAGAAGGGAACTTGGAAGGCATTGAATCAAGTCAAGAAGCATTTATTAAGTGCCCAGTGTGTGTCAGGCACTGTGTCAAGCACTGGAAATACAAAATAGACAAGAGACAGTGTCTGCTATCAAGGAGCTCCTAGTCTAACGGGGGATACAATATGAAAACAATTAGGTTCAAACAAGATATATACAGGATAAGTCCAGCCTTCTTCATGTAAAAGATGAGGAAACTGAGTCTTATAGAGGTAAAGTGATTTGTACATGATCACAACAGGTGATGTCAGGGTTGGGATTTGAACTCAGGTCCCTTGACTCTAAATCATTCCTCTGAGTCACATTCCACTGTATCATAATCATTTCACCCAGTATTTGATGATATTGCCTTAATTCATTGCTTATATTTGTTTTCTCAGAAAAGGCCATTTTTTTTGGTCCTGTAACTGACTGCTTCAAGGGATCACTGGGAATATTTCATCTCGGGACTAAACTGAGGGGGGGTCCAACTTTAGAGCTCTCCCATCATTGTGACTGGTTAGGTACAAAAGGGGCACGAAGCCCAGGAGAAAGAGCAACTGAGATGTCAGAGTGAGAGAGGGGCTCATTGAATCTACTGAATGAGATCAAAGCTCTTCCTTTCCATCTCCCCTAGAACCACTAGGTTCTATCTATCCTACCAGAAACACCAAGATCCATTCTTCAGGTGCTTGGGGCACACCCCTCCACTCTGGATACCTATGATGCAGTGTGATAAAGCATAAAAGAGTCAGAAGATCTGAGTTCCAATCTTGCCTCTTATGCTTACCACCTGTGTGAGGCAAGGCAGGTCACTTACTTTCTCTGAGTTTTGGTTTCCTCATACCAAACGAGGCAGTTGAAGTAGACAGCTTCTGAGACTTCTCGCAGCTCTATCGATATCTATGATCCTATCTTATCATCTGGGTGGCTTAAAGAAGATGTCAAGGAGGTGACCCAGGGTTCTCAAAGGTAATGCTGGTAGAGGATAAGCTCTGGATGTCTATGCACCTGGAGATGCTCCAGCATGACCTTAGTGGGGAACTGTGCACTAAAGGAGAGTGTCAGAGACACTTGTTGATAGATGGATTGTGGAAAGTACCAGTAGAGCTAAATTGGGAAAGGTTCATGATCCAAAGCTTGGCCACCAGTTATGTGATTTCCCTCCCTCTCTCCCTCCCTCCCTCTTTCTTCTTCTTCTTCTTCTTCTTCTTCTTCT